TCAGTTACGTATTGCTGTGCTAAAGGATGGATCAGTATTTATAAACTAGAAACCCACCCTTTTAGTACTTGTGGTCATTTGCTCTCTATTTTTGTTTTCACTAGCTGCTATGTGAGTGCAGTGATCCAAGGAATGCCTTAACAATTGCAGCATCAGCCGCTCCCCAAATAAAAAAGAAACGGTGACCACAGCCTTTCCTCAAAGGTAATGGCATGTACACTAACAATGTGGCATTTCCCATTCATTGAGTCAGAGCTGTTCTGAAACTGGTTCACTATTCAAATGAAACATAAAATATTCTTTTGTTTTAGGGTGAGTTCTGTTGTCTTTGTTAGAAGACCACACTATTTCCCTTTACTCTGCAACATTATTACACAAACTGTGGTGCAGGCTCAAAAGGCAGTCTCTACAGTAGCCAAAAATGATGGGTTTTTTCATGATCAGTTTATCAAACCGGACTTGGGCCTTACTTCTAGCTTTGAGGAATTTTAGGGGATACTAAAAGAGAGAGATTTTAATATCTTTTATAGACTGGAACCACTAACACCACAACTTCAACCTCTTCAACCTCAACCACCAAGGTAAGCAGTCTGTTGCAATACAGTATAATTAGAGATTTGCAACTTGTTAGTCTCTCCAGTCTCATTTTGTATGAAGAAATATAGGTCAATGTAGAGGCTGCTTTTAACAAAACCTGTCTTTCCTATTTTAAAATTTTGTACAAAAATTTCTCTTGAGCTTCATGCATGTTTGTTTGTTCAGCCAACATATACAGGAATTTTGATGCTATTTTGGACAGTCAGTCACAAACACATGGTCAAGAGGATGGAAGGGAAAAAGGAAAAGAGAACAAAGATAAAGAAGTGGATAGTTCAGGGTAACTAACTTAGGATTTAATCACCAATGATTTAAACTTATCATCATATGTACTGAGGCTAACATTGAACTATATGTAAAGACAGTAACCCTCAAGACAGTTCATGTTACTGCTTCCATACCAAACAAAACACAGACTCACTATCATAGTGTTCTTAACAAAAGTTGCAAATATTTTGTAGATGATGCCAAAAATTAGATAAGTTTTTATTTATTTATTATCTTCTTGGTAGTGTCAATGTGGGTATATAATACAGTTATTTTTGTCTATTAGCATTTTGATTTCAATAATGTAATCATCTTGTCTATTTGATTTTTAGCAATAACAAGTCTGCTTCATCTCCTAATGGCTCACCTGATGACACATCTGCACCAAGTAAGGACACCTAAATGACATCTATGTCAGAGCAGTATTTATATCTTTACTCAGACAAATCAGCCCTCTTTTTTATTCAACTATTTCCTTGAAAACCTTTTTCAAAATTGATTAAAATATATTTTTCTCATGAGGAAAGCATTATATGACCTACAATTATACACGTCAGTTAGTACCAAACCCTGGAAAGCCACAGTCCATCAGAGATAATTTTTCCTTGGTTTTTTTTTTTAAATGATATGGTCATCAAGAAGCAACACAAGAGAGATTCCCTTTTTGACTGAAATATAATAATAACTGGATTTTTTATCACTCAGGTGGAGATATTGAGATTTTAGCAAAATTTCAGAGGTGAGCAGCTACATTGAAACTTCTTATTGCAACTAAACTCAGTTTTTCTCAACTGTCGAATTTAAACTTATCTTTTAACACTGGTTCTCTTTGACAGCCATCTGAAAAAAGATAAGTCTCCAAATGCAGGTAAGCATTACTCCTCCTGTTCTGGAAATGTACATGTGTAACATGAACAAATTTAATAAAGAAAAATTTCTAAAGTTTGGGATCAAAGTTCCGAAATCACTAAAATACAAAGGGACTAAGTAGCTTTTCTATGTTTGAAATTCTCCCAAAATGATAAAAACATTAGAGTTTATGTTCTTGACCCAACTCAGAGTCATCATGAGCCACTAGGGGAGGGTTTAAAATGATACTAAGAAGTACCCAAAAACATATTCATACCCAAGAAATAGTCTGTGTTACTATCATGACTACAACTTTGGAGGGCATCAAGAAAATAAAAAGTGAAAAAGTGATAATAAAACAGTCTGAAACAATCACCAAAGCATAAGAGTGGGCTAAAATACATTTTCAGGCTGCCAAAATCTCTATTTTAGCCTGCAAAAAATGTGCCAAAATGCTTGACCAAGTGTTAATAAATAGGAAATGGAAATTTTAGCAAATTCCTTTTCCACCAAAAAAAAGGTAGTATCTATCAGCCAAAATTAACAAAATACATGTAAGCAAAAATAGGAGGTTATTACCAACACCAATCACATTTTTAGGCTCGCTTAAATTCACATTGTGATTGATGCTTGTTTGTTATTTCTTCAGCATCACAGGCATCAATAGATACAGTAACATCAGCAGCTGATGATTTAGAAGAGAAACCAGCAAAGAAGTCCAAGAAGGGTAAAAGAGTTGTTATGGCCTGGATGATGATGCCAACCTTGCTATCTTCCATTACTTTGAGATGGATGAAGACTAAAGAGGTCAGTTTGTTCCACTTTTCTTTGAAAATTTGGTTTTATATTTCCACAGCCTGTGCATTATCTATTGTTGAATGATGAATTTTTAAGATATCACTACTGGGCAACTGTAATTTCAATCACTAACACAAGATGAGGTTTCACTTTGTATCCCAGACTGGAAAATGAAACTTGAGTTGTTGTCTTTTAGGTGTTTTTAAAAAAATATAATGATCATACAGAAAAGGTGTTTTTATATGTGTAACTATGAAATAATGTTATGTGTCTATTCTGCATGAAATACTGTATAAACACTTTTGGCTTATCAGCATTCTTATTTTCTTTAGCTCTGGTGAGACATCCTGTGAACTTCCTTGATGCAGCACATAAATGAAATGGTCAGGAGAGACAGGTAGGTGTATTTACCAAGTTTTTTATAGACAAAAATTGTGAAATAATTGGTCACATTTTGCATTTTTCAGTTAAGAAAATAGGTAGTTGTCAGCACTCTAAGTTGCAATATTTTGGTCACCAAGTGGTGGTGACATAATTTTAGCTAATGAAATTAGTTTTACCAATTTGGCAACCTGAGTTCAGCCCACCATTTCCAGCAGGTAATTGCATACCTTTTCTTATTGAGGTATCTGTGTAGTCTGAAAAATGCATGATTTTCTGTTTCAGCTTGTGGAACAAGCCAAACGTTTGAGTGAAGACATAATGGCAGAGAGAATCAAGGTATAGATGATGCTTAATCATTGTTTGACAAGGGGAATTTTAAGTTTCAAGTAGGTGGTCTATGAGAGTAGTCTAGTGGAAAAAAGACTTTCCTTTTTGTTTCAATGACTGACTGTTACAACTACTAACCCGAGCTGAAGTGGTCATCATAGTCATGTGACTCTGTGACCACCTTTACTGAGGTAGCTAAAACATCAGAAACTATTGCCATCAATACCCTTCTCAGAATTCCTCTTATCTAAACAATCAAATCATCCAACTTCAGTTCTGCTACACCTTAATATCAATCCTTTCCTTTATTGTGTAACTGAATTTTTAAACTTACATCATATTCCATAATTTGCCAAAAAGTAATCTTGCAAATTGCCACAAGACCGCATTTGTTTCAGTAAACCTGTGATCTACATTTAAGCACATCAGCCAATTAGGTCCTAAATCAATAATAATCTGTTTGCATGTTGTAGTGGTACAGACCTAGAGCCTTAACACTAGAACACCAAATGGAAAAAGGTTCAAAGAGTACGCAGAGGCAAATACAGGTATAGTACACTATGTGTCCAACACACTCCTATATAGGAGTGTTCATCTGTTACTTGCTTTACTCTGTGCCGAGCAGCAACTGATACATTTTACCATGAGCATACTTGTAAAGATATACATAATATGACCTTCTACAGTGAAAGTCAATGGGGGGGCATCTTGAGAGATTTTGTGCATACATGAGATTCAAACTTTTAACACATTCAATAACTTTTACTGTGTAGAAATTATTGAAAAGCACAGGTGGGACTCAAAAAGATGCATGAAGAATTTATCTTCCATTTTTTCCCTAAGTGTTATGTGGAATACCAGTAATAATTACTAGACACTAAATAGATCATTTTAAACCATACACAGGTCCACTTTTTTATGACTGCCAATGTTGCAACATTCTTCAATTTATTTTGCTCTATTTACTCTGTAAACCCTTGTTTATTATAGATAACAGTTCATAATTATGTGATTCTTTGGCTCACAGAAAACCAGAGAAGCTAGTATACTTGCAGATATATTTTTAACCAAGTCAAGGTAAAGTCTTGGTACATAGCCAGTTTTTTTGTGCTTGCCAATGTTTTAGAAGCTCTCTTTTCCCTTTTGGAGCATGATAAGAATATCACTGATGCACTCAACTGCACCTGGTGCACCTCTATTTTGTTCTTACCAAATTTTGATGTCATCTGAACAGATACAACTGGGATGGATTTGTTAACTAAACTTGATTCACATATTCCTGTGTTAGAATTATGGTAGTTTGATGTCCTGAAGTGCTCTGCGTTTTCTCTAATCTTGCCAGAATGAGTATTGTCATTGGTAGACTAAGTTTTACAATTTGGAATAATTGTACAGCCAGTGTTGTCAGATGCTATTTCCTAACCCCATGTGTGGTAATTTAAGTGGTTTGCTATTTTGATGTTTGATCAAAATGGGTTATGTTCTTATTACATTTCAGTTTGCCTGACAGCCCAGCAGAACCTGAACCTGATAACCAAAAAGGAAGTCCTGAAGAACCCAGAGTTATACCACATGATGAGGTACATGTATTGATATATAGCAGCTCCTACAAGAGATAGATCAGCAAATACCCAGCATAACTAACTCTCCTACTAGCCGACCAAGATGTGGATCTATGGAATGTTTTGTTGATTGACTGAATGACTCTTGGCTGTTATTTTGTATATATATATATTTCCTGCAGAAAGGAACCACTCATGTACCTGCCAAGGCTCCAGTTGTATCTTCTAACAACAGCAGTGTACAGCTTCCACCAGCACTTATGTCACTGTTGTCATCAGCATCCTCAACTACAGGTTTCCTGTTACTATTAAGAAATTTCTTTCTTTTCCTTAGCTGGTAAATGGTCCTTGTTTTGTGTTCGACCAAAGTGAGTTTGTATTTTTTTAAGACGTCAGCAATCTCTGTTTTTTATTTCAGCTGGGTCGGTATCTCATGGAAGTGGTGACAGGGGACCTTATACAGTTCAAGCCCTCCTTGATAAACTCATGGCAAGTAACTAGACTGTCATTACGCGTATTCCAATGTTCAAGTTTTACAATATGTTATATAATTCTTATAGTATTATTGAACAGTGATAACGAGTTAATTTTCGTGAGGAAAAACTTCCCCCCTTTCTCTGGTGGTGAGTTCTGCTCATTTTATTGAAGCATTATTAATTGTCACCAGTTAGAGACCTTTTCGCAAAAAATTTTCTTCTGGGTTTGAAGGAATTGTAGAAAAATTAATTTGCAATTTAGCTTTGGGAAAAAACGACAAGATGTTTGAAGAACTAGTTTGTTTTTTCATAGTTAAATCCAAGAGACTTAAATTATATTAGGAAATAATTAATATGTAACTGCAGTGTGAATGTTCTTGAGAGGGCCGTTAGTCATTCAGAGCTGCCTTGAACTTTCAGTCATAACCTCAAGTTCCTTATCTTGTACTGTTCTTGAAACTTCTTTCTTTTTCAAGGAACTCGGTAGTACATGCTGGGTTTCAATTATTTTTTGATATTTGAAAACGTAAATAAGTTCTTGAACTTGTCTACAAACTCTTCGAATATCTGTTTGTTTTAGAATCCCTCCACGCAGGGTAACCCACCTGAAATGGCACCTGGTTCTCAGTCTCTTCCTCAAAATGAGCCAGGGAGTTCCCTCCTACCCCCAGCCCTCCAACATATCCTGGAACCTTCAGCAGAACAAAATGGGTCCTCCACGGATGGCAGGACCTGGACCAGGATCCATGCCTGGCATGGGTGCGGGGACAGGATTGCTGGGTGCAGGTAAGGTCAATTATTTTGTCAGCATCAGCTTTTGTATAGTGGACAACAGGTTCGACTTGTAAATGTGGGTCACAGGCTCTATAGGTTGCTAGAAGACTTTGGTTGGTCAAAAGGCAATCCTTACTTTCTTAAATGAAAACATTATGCAAAACTTGTCAAAGGAAAATGTTCTTCTTGATTGTGTTCTGCAAAATGCGTGTTCAGTTCACATCAGCCAATCTTATTCGTTTTCTAAGTGAATAAAACCATGCAACCACCTCAGGCCAAAAGTACTTGGTTTTTTTTTTTCTTAGATATCAATTACCTTCGAGAATAACCCATGAAATTCTGCGTGTACTTTTTCTTAAGTATGGAATTAGCTGGCGGTTTAAAGAGCCGTCGATGATAAGAGTGCAGGCTGCTAAGCTACAGATTCGTCCATAATCTCTATTCTCAAGAGCCTTAGACAACTTAAAAGTATTTTAATAACAGGCCATTTCTGAGTTCATGAACCCTCACTTTCAGAAAACGTGGTTAAGCAGAGATTGAAGATTTATTTTGATGTGAAAGGCCTTATATTGAACCCTGGTACTAAAACAGGGACTTTGTACATCTTTAAGATCATGTATTTAAAAAGTGAAGTAAATATTTTTTGAGGATACCCACTTCTCTATAAGACTGTTTAACAGAGAGGTTTCCCAAACAAAGGGAGATCATTTGAGAAATGTCCTTCGTCAGTAAATGTAAAACTTCACCATTTTTAAACATTACCAGCTTTTCGAAATGTTAGATGTCATGTGACGATCTCTTGATCTGTTCTCGCCACAGCACCAGGTGATCCAATGGGGAGTCTTAATGTCTTCAGACCATCCGGTCCCATGGGTCTAGGAGGTGTACAAGGCCCACATTTAAGACCTGATATGCCCCGCATTTTCAAGGCCCTGAGGCCCTAGACAAGGTCCACCAATTGGGCCCCTGTTTCCAGGTCCAGAGGGCCCCATGGTGGGTCCTCGCATGAGGGACACATGCCAATTCGAATGCAGGGCGGACCAGGTATTGGTAGAGCCATGCCAACAGGTCCTCGGCCTCTTTACCAGAGATGGTAAGCCTCAAGCTTTTGTGTACGTAGATTCTGTCCTCATTAGATCATGTTAATTTTCTGATTATAGTAACTGGTGTACCACTGTAAAAGAAGTCAGCACTCAATCACTCAACAACTTCTCCAAATGTGTTTAGGTGGTTGATTTACAATTGTATCTTCAGGTGAATAACGATCTAATGTAGAAATTACACTTGCGTCGTGACGCACCACAACTGAATCTTTGGAAGTTTAATAACCCACAATCCTTCAGACTGATCTTAACACTAAGTGCTCAACCAATAAATTGACAATCAGCAAGTAGTTTGTCTGTTCGGGAATATTTCGGTGTTATTTGCCCGATGTTCTATCGGGCTGGAAGATCAATCATTACGCGAATTACAGTCCTCTGACGTCAAAAATGCTTTTTCGTTTATATACTTTATGTATCGTACGAAAGAAGGCAATGAACAGGAAGAAAAGATAGTTAATTGATCACACTTCGTCCTATCCCAGGCCCAACGAGACGACTTCCACTCGGACCAGTTCGACGATGGAGGGGAGTATGGTGACGAAGACGAAGAAGGCGAACTTGGAGACATGAGCATGCGTGGTAGGGGTCGAGGAATGCCGCGCGGTCGTGCACGTGGAAGGGAAGCAAGCAGAGGAACGCCTCCTGTTCTGTCGACATTTTGTGTCAAAACGAGGTTGTCTTAGAGGAAACACGTGTCACTTTTACATCCCGGAGTAAATGGACCTCCAGTTTGACAGTGAATAATAGAGCGTTCAAAGACGGTGGCGCTAAATTCCTGAGGTCATACTTTTCTTGTTGACAATTACGACAGGAAGCAGGAAATTGAGTAGAACTTTTTACTTGGGCAAGACATGGAATGTACTGATACGTCTTCAAGTTACTTTATTTTTGATAAGAAACAATAATGTCTGAAGTTCATCAATGGTATTTAATAAGGAATAACATACGGGTAATGCTCTAAGTTTTCATTTACAGTCGGCATCGAGACGTATGTTCTCGAGGTGGCCTAAGCACAGCAGAGGAAGGATTTATAGCTATTGAAGAATGACACTGAACGCGCAGTGAAGGAAACTCTCTCTAGTACCAAATCAGGGAAACTAGTCTAGCAAGGAGGAAAAATTACCAAATTTCTTGTGACTTTCTTTTAAACCTCAAAGCCCTCTTAGTGTTAGTTGAAATGGGGTCAAGTAAATGCGACCAATCTTTTTAGTCTGATGGAATAAGGAAGTGTTTATTAATGTTTCACGATACTTGCGCGATTTGTTTCCTTGATTTGGTATGAATATCCAAATTCTCCTCGCCGCCAATACAAGCAGTGTTGCAACTGCTACAGAAAATACATACCCCAGTCATAAAGGTTTAGGGAGTCGTGCACAATTCGAGACTTGTACTTTGCTCAGTTATTGACTCAAATCTTCTCTATTATCCATTCATCTCCGTCGAAACTACGGAAACTACGTATTTTATCACGAGCGTTCGTTATTGAAATTATCTTTGTACATATTGTATAGAGTGTGGAAACAGCGCATGTAGAATACTAGGTAGAAATAGTTTTTAAGCGATATCTACTTGAAAATATTTTGCAACACAGCTAGAGAATAAATGTTTCGTATTTTAGTCAGTCTGAGTTTCAGCAGAAACTAGAAGATTCAAATACAAATTTTTGGAGTAATCTCAACGTGATGCAGATCCCAGGGAAGCAGACTTTTTTGTTCTTGGTTAAGGTATGAATAACCCCAATGCATTTAGTGTGACATTTCATTTCTGCATGTGCTAGCTAGTAATATTTTGATTGGTCCAGCTGCAACGAAAGTAGTTTTCTCATGGTTGTCTTTTCCTTGTTTTCGCCGTTGTCCTTATAATTTACCGCTATTGCCTCGATCTGAGTAATGTAGTCGATTGTAGAAACTAATTTTATTGACAACTCGAAAGACATTGGTAATCTACCAGTGAGTCAGCTGCACATCCCAGTTCACGTCTGAGTTGATCAACGGGGATGTCACCTTTTAAAATCGCCTCGCCTTCTAAAACAGTTCACATTTTTTCAGAATGGACTTACGAGAGTTTCTGCCTACTTAACTTTTATCAATCCATTTTCTATATTAAAATTTTGCAAGAAGACATAAGTATCTTGTGATAAAAGACGAAACAGTTTTGTGACTCCAGGTATGGGAGTAAGACTGAGTCATGTTCGTAAAACTGGCTCGAATTGTACAACACAATTGCAGATAAATTATCTGGAACCTCTCCATGTCTGAGGTTCGTTTCTGACGCACAACGTTTAAATTAGTCACTGCTTTATAGTGGGGAAAAAATAAGAAATCTGTCAAGAGCCGCGATGGTACAAAGCAGTACCAGGTGAATTGCGCAGTCTTTAAAATTCATCGTGAATACAATTGACCAATGTGATTCACGTTCAAACAATTATAACTACGTACGTTGATAATCATAGATATGAATGAAGTAGGTGGGAGTTCCAAACATATTTCCTTGGCACTGTTCATCGTATTGATGTGAATTACTTTCACTTGTAATCAGTTTTCTTTGTTGATTGCCTCACAAAACCATTTAATTATGTACTAAGAGACAGTTGAGTACTAATAATGTTGTGTCGGTGGTACAGCTATGCTGGAAGTGAGCAACTTTGTTGGTTACACAACAATATAACAAAGAAATGTTATTGCTAATTTATACTTTTATGGGTTGGAGAGGAATAATAGTGCAATTTTTTCTGTTTATTTCACATTATTTCCATGAAAATGCAAAAACCATCACCACCATGTGTCGTCAAACATCATTCCTCTTCAGCCTTTTGAGATTTAATCGTGTTAGTGTTAAAATTATCATTTGATGTACACTTCCTCTATTAAAGGCAATTTCAACAAGTGAATTTCCTTTGTGCAATTTTTATTTGTCTCGTTTTGAGTCGCCAGACTTTCGCATCCACCCAATCTTACAGAAGGTTTAGTACAGTGTCCTTCTTTTTTCAAAAATATGATAACATAGTGTTATGAAGCATTTTATTAGTTTATAATTCATTAGTCAGTTCAGTATGATTGAGTGTTTCGTTTATATTTAGAATGTAGTTACTATTCGAATTCGAATTCCGAAGTTATTTTGGTTAAAGCTGCCGTGGTGAGTTTCCGAATTGTGACAGTCTTGACTAAATTCCATAAATGGACGTGCTTAGTTGGTCTATTGACCTTGATTTGAACGCACGAGGGTTCTTGTTTTGGCTAACGTAGTCGAAGTTTGATACAGTTGATCAGATGCATTATGTTCAAGTCTCGTGAGGTTGTTTGGCTTAGAGTTCTACTTGAGCAACTGCTTATAATCCAAGGTCAGCCAGCTGGCATGCCCACCTATATCTGTCAGTAGTGTATGTAGAGGCATTTTCTTCAGAGCTTATTTAGCACAGAGAAGAGAATAGAATAGACTAGTAGAATTTAGAGACAGAGTGGAGAAGAGTACAGTCAGAATCCTGTAGTTGAAGTGAGTGTTTGGCGGCACAAATCAACGAGAAGTATTCAGTGAGAATCAAAGTGTGAGAGCCTAACATATTAACCAGGTTTTCACAGAATGAAGTAAACTTGGATGTAAGTAGAATTGTGTTCTGGAGAACCGATAAGTTAAAGAAAACAATAGATAGCACTCCTACGCTCGCTATTTTTAATTACATGACGAGGGCGAAGTAGATTTTTTAATGCCTCTAGATGAAGTCGGCGGGAATGTCGAAAAAAAGTACTCAGTAGGTAGGAAGAATACACCAGTTGTTCAAAGCCTCTGTTATAAATGGTCTGATTACCCAAGTTTAATTCAGGATGCAGTAGATGTGGATTTTCAACTTTTTTTTCGTTTTGAAGAGAAATCGCTGCATCGCCGCAGTTTCAAGAGACGAACGTCGCACATGAAATATCCTTATGGCCGGAAAGTTATTTAACAAACATTTCAAGTATGTAACATGTGCAATTTCCAACGAGCACGCCTTCGAATATTCAGTATGATTGATGAACGAAAGTACAAAGAACTTTTACTTAATAAAATGATTCAAAGCGTCAATATTCCTTTCCTGGACGTGACTGATTTTTAAAAAAACAGAAAAAAATAATTTTGCTGTGATAGAAAAAAAGGTGACCAGGTAATCTATTTTAATACATTATTCATTATTGGCCGTAGGCGGGGTTTTCTTACGTTGGTTTCCTTTTGACATTTAGTTGTAATACAGATTTAGTTAAAACCACGGGATGTCAATTTTTCTTGTCAACTGAGGTAAGGGGATGGGGTGGGGCAGGATTTACTCAGTGAACCAACTTTCTTAACTTCCTCCTCGAACCCGTCATCTTTCCCGTGAGTGACAGACAGCAAAGGGAACTGGACGTGATTTACTCCACCTCACCTAAACTACCTGACGGCAGCAGAAGTAACACAGGGCACCCAAACGATTAGAGACTTCGAGAGGGTCAACAAGAGCGTGGCAAAACCGAAGGTTTAAAGACGAAAACAATAACACTGCACTTGCGTTTAAAACTTTGTGCAGTTCTTAGCCGTCTTGTGAAGAACAGTGACCATGGAAAGCACAAGATTTCGTGTGCTCAAGGAATGACAACATCGACGGCTACTCAGGGGTCTCTTTTCTACTTTGGAATTAACTCTTCATGTTATGCTAAAGGCGAGATCTTGTACCATAAGAAACGATTGATATACATCGACCAACTAGTGAAAGTTTAAGAAAAACGAAAGGTCATTTTTAGGTGGCCCTCCAAATCTTATACTCTCTAATGACTTCCAATCAGAGAGTGCATCTTGGCTTATGTAGAAAACTGTTACCTTTTCAGAGCGCCTTCGTGGATGAAAAAGTTCGTCTCTTCCTCTGTAACTGCAGTAAAGTGCTCAAATCAACTTTGGAGGATGACTTTTTTATCCCATTAGATGCAAGATTTGAAAACTGACGAATATCTCGAATGTAATATTCAACAATTATTCCTTGAGCGCGCATTGGATATGATATGGCAAATAGCAAACGAGGAAAACCTTCTTTAGATCTGTTTTATTTTCTTAATCTTAATGTTCTGTACACGTTACTGAGCACAAGAAATTAAGGCTCACTTTTTGCCTTTTTGGATATTATTTACATCATACTATATCTCTTTATCATACAACAACAAGTCAATACTGTTTAAATTATGAGAATGAAAGACATCCTGAATACAACACCAACTCTCTTTAATTTAACACAAACTCGCGTCTCGCATAAGACTTGGGATATCCTTCGCTTTCCCCTCCTCGCCACACCACCCCGCTCCTAGTAATAAGAAGCCTTTGAGGAAGTGATGTTAATAAATAATCCGATTAATACTTTAGTGATTCTAGGCTTCCTATGATAAACCTTTAACTCCCAAGATTGATAAAGAATCGAATCCTCCTCATTATTATAGACCAGTGTTTACCATACAAGTGAGGAGAAATGTCATACTAATAAGCCTAGAGGTAATTCCATGGCAGGAACTTAAAATCTCAGGGATTTCTAAGGTAATGTACTACAGATTTAAGTCGAAATTCATTTTCAATCTTGAGAGCTAAGTTTTTATTTTTTTGACTATAACACTCTTAGTAACCTTTCTTAGATAAAGACAAAAGATTTCTAACTACTCTTCATACCACTTTACTACTCGTGGAAAACTAATCAGTGCTTTCACCCTTTTTATTCTCAAAAGAGAGCAAAATCAGACTCTTCTTCATAAATTTTTATACTTTGTCAAAAAGTAAGTAGACCAGTAAGTAGAAACCACCAATATTTATCCGGTTAATTATTTAAATCTCAACTGCTTTTTCAGGAAATACATGGCATTATCTAACTGAGAATTGGCGAGTTTAAGGATGGAAGATTTAAGTATTATTCAAACTGACGCAAAAGTCTGCAACTGCTATAAATATGCGTTGAACCAATGTGAAGCAGCATCGTCTGAATCTGTAACAAAACAATTTCGGATATTAGGCTAGTGTTCTTGAGCAGACCTCTGTTTCATATGGGCAAAGAAAATGAGAAATTTTGAATCAGTAGAGCGCAAACGAGGCTAATTCTGAAAGGATATTTAGACTATGTGGAAAAAAAAGCTTCATCAGAGTATGAATAATTTGAATCTTTCTTAAATAATAGTTATGATCCCGTAACATGTCTCAACGCAGTTTGTTATTTTTCAGAGAGGATTGTGAGACTGTCTCAGTAAGAAAAGAAACAGTCATTTTCATCTTGACAATATTAATGCAACGTGCAAGACCTGAATTTCAGTAATCCTAGTCAAGTTTCTTCTTCCGTCAGTTACTCGGCCAAAAATTAGCGATGAACAGTATGTTTGTTTGCAAATAAGTTATCAAAAAGGTTTCAGTATTTTGTAAAACAAAAAGGCTTTCAAACACAATTACATTTAATAGGCAAATATTTTTTTTTTAATTTTCCTCAAGTATAACGCGACATCTGCATGTAAAGGTGATTTTTGCGGGTAGGAAAGTGTTGGCAGTCTCCACAAATCACAAGCAAAAGAACTGTTCATACTTAGGCCATGATTTTCGGTTAAAAAAAGATTTATGACTTGTTCGTTTAGTATTTCATAGTTACGGAAAGTATTCAGAAGTAATTATAATACTATGACTTACTCCTTTGAATTTTTTAAAAGAGACCTATTTAATTCTTCAGATAAGCAAGAGGTTGCAAGAGAGTGAGTGGTAACCAGCGATATAAGGTGTGACGACTTTTTAAGCCTACAGCTTATGTTTTTATCTTACTGAAAAATAACTCGTGAACTTTCCTTAAATTTTTTTGCAAAATAGAAATAACTATTTGATCGTTTTCTTGATCATGACTCGACATGTACAATTACGGGTGTAAAATGAAAATTTTTCAGTGGAAAAAAGTTAAGAAAAAATGTAATTTTTTTCAGAAAAGCAAACCTATTTGTTCGAAATTGTTTTCAAGAAGTGTCACGATATTTAGCAACAACGATAAATAAATACAAATAAACCTCAGCCCTAACGAATAGTACATTCTAAACTACCAGCAATATTGAAAGTGTTCTATGTAGTTACTAACAAGGAGGCATTGCCAATAATGCGATACAATATGCTTCAAAATTGTGATAAATTAGAATGAATTAATCATGTCATGCATAAGTTCTAAGTGATTCTGACCATTGTGATTTGTAGTGGTGGGATATCCACCCATATCCCCGGGGTTAAACTGTTGCGGCCGCATCATACATTCATCGATAGCTTGCATTCCATGATCCATAGGAATCTCCCCGGAGTCCATATGGTTAAGCGGTCCTTGGTAAGGAGGTTGGAACTGCGGTGGTGCCATCATTGGTCCCATATGATTTTGCAAATGTTGATATTGAGGCGGAAGCATTCCATAGGGAGGGGGTTGAGATCCTTGGAGTTGTGGGGGAGGGGAGAGTGATGGAGGAAGATCTAAACTGTCTCTATCGGCTCGTCTTTTATCTCTTGGACTTGACGCTAAACAACAGACAAGGGAACATTGAGTTAGTAGGCGCCAAATCTTTTGGGAGCCTTCCAAGAGTGGAGCGTGAAAACTTCAATAGTAAGTCAATGGCAGATGTGAAATACTTAAATGACTATGTTGATCTCTAACACAGTTTTTGTAAGATTAGAGCAGCTGTAGGTTAACCTCATGTTGGGGAAGGTATGGTATTTTTGAGACGTCGAGGTCAAATTGTATCACAAGTTGAAAGCTATTTTCAGTTTTGAGTAAACCAATAGTTTATAAACAGTTTATAATCATTTGAGAAACTCAATGGCACCAATGAAACTCTTTAAATAACAGGAACAGTTTCCAAGTGAGGAGAAAGGGAAAAAACAACTTTCAAAATATCCTGAAATTCCTTTCAAACACAGATCAAATTCAATTTATTTTGATTATCTTCATTTGAAAGAGATCTAATAAACATTTATCAGTTTGAATTTTGATCGTGGGTCTGAAGACACTTACATTTCCTGTCTTTACTTTTTTTAAGACTCCTTTGTCTATTACTGACTCTACAACTTGCTGCGCCATCAGACTCGGATTGTTCCTTCTTGCAAGTTTCTTAATCTGTTTGTAAGAAAAAGAAATAATAAATCCCTCTTCCCAGGATATGGTTACGAAACAAATTACCTATAGGAGAATTTTGAGAAACGAACACAGATCTTAAGAAATTGTTATCATCTGGATAGGAAATAAACGCTTCTGTCACCCGCCAAATAACTAACTGACAAGTTGATACACAGAAAGAGTGGATGCTAAGGACACTAGACCCTCATTTCATATTTTCCAGCTGACAAACATATAAAGAGCTATCTAGTTTTTTCTACTGCCCTCAGACCCTTGTGTCATATCGCAAAGGGTATCGAGAGAAGAAGGTTTTCCTGAGAGAGTGTCATAAATTGCCTCAGCCTCAGGGAGCTGTGGAAGATGTATCTTTGTATAATTTCAATATGGATGGGTAACTGATGAACGGTCAAACGTGGAGAAACGAGGATAGGAGAGCACGAAGGTCCCGAACTATGGAAAAAATCACTTGGCGAGCTTAGCCAAATGGTTTTCGAAAATCCCCCTACGCAACTCGCTCCAGACTTCTTACGCCGAACGGTTTCAAGATAGCCGACAGAGGAAACAAGAGATGGAAAGCGCATGGTTAGTTAATCACCGTGTTCCTAAACCAAATTCATAGATGGGATGTGAGGTTTCCCAGTACTCAGCTAAGCAGTAATAAAGTTCAGGATAGAAAAACTTCAGACCGAAAAAAAGCACAAAACATTGTTCTTGTTACATGTACAGTTACCTTGGCTCTCTGATTTTGAAACCAGACTTGCACAACACGAACGCTGAGCCCTGTTTCTCTTGAAAGCTCTTCTCTGACCTTTTTGACGGAAGACAAACAAAAAACAATTGGTGCCTGCAATGACAATGTCTGAGAGGAAAAGGAAGGGACATAAACTAGATCATTCTAATCCGTAAGTCCGATTTCCCCCGCTCCTTTTGTAGGACGGTCAAAAGCTGAAATTTGAAGTCATGCCGTGGAACGCTATCATCCGAACCTGGTCATTGTTTATCGCCTGGAGGGTGGGATGGGGCGGTCTGGAGGATTTTGGTTTAATCACATTAACTTTACCTGTCCAACGATCCTCCCCTTACTAGCAGTCAACTATTCTTAGTCCGGCCTTTATAATTTGTGAGTGACGGCTGCTACTCCCTCCGTTCCCTCTGAAAACCATTTGACCCACCAAAATAAATTCTCCAACCCCCTCCTTAGGCAATAAATTATGACTGGTTCCTAACTACGTAAATGAGCTTTATAGTGTTAGGCTTCCTACCTTTCTACAAGGTTTGGAGCTAATTTCAAAGGCGGATTTGAATATTTTTCTTTGTTGACTTGTGAGTATTGTTCGTGGTCTTTTTGGTCCTTTTTATCGTCATTTTCATCATCACCAATTACTGATGAATCGTCAGAGTCTGAATTGTCCGCTTTCTCCAATTTTGTCTCTTTATCATTCTTGAAACTGTTATTAATTACATCTGCGGAGCAGAATAGACAAACAAATTATGGGTTAGTATTGTGTGCACATGCTTATGTTCATCTTGATAAGATGCAGTTGAGATGGGTTGCAAATAAATGAATCGCAATCGAGAACAGCCAAGAGTGTCACAGCCATCTACATTCGTAAGGTACTCAGTAAGGTACTCAGTAAGTTACTAAGCAACATCAAAAACTTAAGGATTTAAATAAAAAAAAGTGGAATAAACATCCAGTTTACTTACTCTCTTGTTGCGGCTTATGTGGCGGACTATTTGATGACCCTTTTGTTGGAAGTTTTCCATAGTCATCCTTGCAGTATAATTTGTTATCTTTTAACGCAAATTCCTGCCCCTTTTCAAGACGATGACCACACATGGTGCACACAAAACATTGTATGTGATACACATTTCCTAATGCTCGCATCACAAACTCGTTTGCTGGGATGGTCGTCTTGCAGCCACTACATTTTGTACCGTACATCCTGGAGAAGAAATTGAGAAAATTATGACATGTTGGTCTCCAATTGAGAAGAGAGTCGATTTTCCTTGGTTTTACTTAAATTTACCAATTTACTGTTATACAACCATCACTTCATATCCGTTTTCTCTTAACACCACTTTTCAAACGGCTTTCAATCGTACTTTGTCAATCATGTATCCAACCGTCTGCACAGTTCAACATATGGTGGACATGCTTTGCAATTTTGCCTTATAACACTTTGAAAATCTCTAATAACAGAAGTAAGCAATCCAAAAAAATTAACCATATTTTAAATATGTTTTCAGTGAGAGATTCGCTCATGAAAAAGTTTTTTTCTCGTCTCTTTAGAAATCTAATACGAAGCATAAGCTAAATAACTAAAAGGCTTAAAACTTTATATTTCCAACGATACACCAACATATGGTCCAAAATTTGATTGTTTTCTTACAAAAAAACTGTCATTTCGCCTTCATAACTTCTCCAATGTTCTTCTTTTTTTGCTCGTTTTGATGAAATACTGCAGGACATCAAACTTTCCTTTGGTTTCTTTCGACAGTTCAAGAAACCTTAAGGTTTTATCATTATCATTATTATTGCTTTTTGATCGTCTGCTGTTATCTAGGGTGTTTTAATTTACTTGTAAATCTGTAACACAAAAATGGACGTTGGGAAATGGGGTCGATGGAATCAGGCTGTCAAATAGCACAAAGAGTGCAAGCGCAGTCAATGTCTTAAACAAAACACACCCATGTCAAAACTTACCATCTTTCCTATTCTACTTACAAAACACACCCTGTTTCAAAGAGCCAATGAGGTAACGAAATCCTATAATTGGCTGGTCTTGTAATTAGTCATAACAGTGAGGTGATAACAACTAGAAAATTTGGAATAATAACAATTATTTACAACCTTGTTGTCAGTTGTCGCCCAGCACTTGGAGTCTGACGTTAGAGCTCATCTCCATGGAGTAGTGAATTATCTACAATAATTTTTGTTACGATTTTACTTAATTTATAGCAAGATTCCCACGTAAAATAATTATACCAAGTTTTTTTCTTGTTTTGTTTGTAACAGTATTGTTCAGTTAAAGCTTTACTATTTCATTCATTAAAAAAATATAGCGCAACGTTTGAAAAGAAATTTTCAAATAAGATCTTGAGCAGGCACTTTTCCTGAGAGGATTTTCAATAATTTCTAGGGAGATAAAATGTCTCATTCACTATAACGTTCTTAAGTTTTCATAAGAAGATGCCCTGGAGATTTTGTTGAATTAGCGATCCGTTGAGTGCAAACAGAACGGCTACACTGAACATTTCAGTTACGCGAAGAAACAAAAAAACTGTTAAAAGCCACGTTTTGCTGAACTTGTATAATGAGCAATATTTATGCGACTTTCAGCTGGTTAAACAAGCTCTTAAGCTATCATATCGGGTACCATCTTCTCCTATTTGCGTTTGAATATCTCATTTCCCTTCTGTTTACCAACCTGCTGTTTATAACAAACAAGAGGTGTTATTCGAGAGAGAAAATTCACAATGCTAACTTAGTTGTGTTAGTTATGAGTTTATCTGCGAATCTAACGCTCTTATGGTATTTGCTTACTGCGTCCAAAACAAACATTTTTTAGTTTTATTCCACTGTCTTAACACGCAACCGCATGGAAAATAGCAAGTACCAAATACCTTAGTAAACATGAAACGCATATCACTTTTCCGGCCTTTTGTTTTAAGTCAACGTATTGACTTGTGAATAAACCTTTATAAATTAATGTTTTTCCACCGTCAGTTTATCGATGCTGATATTATCATATGAACCTTGTTTCCTGTTAAATATGCTCGCCAAACCTCCAAAGGTAAATTTGAAAAAGCCTTCTGAGCAAACCGATAAAAATTTGTTAAAAGATAAAAATTAAAACTTTGCTAACTAAATTAATTGCAAGTGTTCGATTTCAAAATTAAACGTTGTGTTTTGGTTCATGAATAAAAACAAAAGAACTTTCTTTAAAAAAAATCAGCCTGTTTCTCTTCTTTTAATTCAATACAAAAATACAGCACTCCAGATAAATTTGAGAAAATTATGTTAGAGACCCATTGTCATGTTAAGTTAGACCGCATTTAATTACTCGGTTCAATGAGGTGTTGCTAAATGGCCAATTTTGGAAGGGTAAGAACATAAAAAAAGACCTGGAAAATGGAAAAAAAAAACAATCTTGAAGCGTGTCAAGTCCTTAATTGAATAATATCGAAAGTTGTTTATGCCCATTGCAGATGAACGCTCGCTTTTCTTAAAAAAGTGCTTGCTCTAAAAACGATTTGGTTCCCTCTTTCGTATAAGACCAATTCAGTAAAAGTCTGTAGTACATACAACGTCAGTTTAACCCGAAAGCTTGTTGGAAGATAAATTGGTTAAGATGGAATTCAGTGCAAAGTTAACAAGACAGTTTTTTGTTGTAGTGCAGTCAAAACTCATAACGCTTTTGAAAGGTATATTGCATAGTCTTAGTCAAAATAAGCGACAGGTCAACTGCACAATCCAGCGCTAAAGTCGGCGGCATAGAAAGTAATCATATCTACTTATTCTCAGTAAGCAATAGGCAACCTGAGGGGTTTATGTTATGCAATTTAGGTAGCCTTGCACTGTTGAAATGTCTGACATTGACTGTAACAGGTTGTGCAATTATTCGCGGAAAGATACCACCTCCAAACTAATTAAAAAACCTTATGCTGGTAAAATATACAAGCTCGTGATACGTATCCATTGAAAGAGATCACTGTGCTTTAGAAAGTGAGAGCTGGTACATTTTAGGAGCTAGAGTTGAAACTGGATATTGAATTTTTCAGGCATATTAAATCTTCTTGTCAGACATTGTTCTAACTGAGCAGGACTCTCTTTTCTATTCATAAACTAAACACATGAAAGCTGTTGATAAAGATAACTCACTTAAATGTGCAAGGATACCTCGATGCTTGAAACACACATCGGAGCTGTTATTGGTGGAATACCGAATTAGCAATATAACAACTGTAAAAAACACACAACACCGCAACATTTTCGAAATGAAAACAGGCTTTGAAAAGACGGACTGAAAAGCAGAGACTCGCATTAAAGGTTGCTATCAGAGCAATAATACACAAGGTCAAATTCTTGTTTTTGTCGTGGCAGTTATTGTTCCCATATGTTGATATCTAAGCTGTTTTTTTAGAGGCAACCTTGGTGGTGAAAATCGCTCTCATTTAACCCCATACAATTTCGTAGATAAGGATTGTTTTCAGAACAAGCTATTCAAGGACTTTCAGATGTTTACACTAAGGAAAGATTCAATTTCAAAAACATAGAAATATTTTGGCGGGTTGTCGATGTACTCTAACATGTTATCAATCCTCTATACATTCCAATTAAAATCGTATCAGCGTTTAAGACAAAACACCCCGTTCAAGACAAAACAAACCTAGCTCCAATTTCGTTGGATATCAAACGAGTCTGAGAGGGCCAAGTGCGTTTAACTTCGACTTTCTGGTTCCAGGGCAAGGTGTGTTTTATCTCCAGATCCGAACATTTAAACATAAGCATCCTAGCGCCTCAATTGTCCTTTAAGGACAACTCCAACTGCAGTTTTACAAAGACTTCATAGAATTTCATCCAAATCGCTCTGAGATTGCAGGTTCTCGAAGATCAAATCCCGCCTCCTCAAAATGCAATCTTGCACAAAGCAACCCGAAAACGTTCCGCTTCTCACACTGAATGAATTCCACAACTACTTAATCTTCGTTAAGTCTTCATCTGAACGCTATCTTTAGTGTATTCTTACTTGTATTACAAAACTAATACCTATCTTTAGCGAAACTATATCAAGAGATAACCTTCTCCTATCACAAGGTCGTTGCGCCTGAAAGCCGCCAAATCAGGGAATTTAGACTTGCATCTCTTTGCGATAACCTGCAAAAGTCTTCTAGTCTTAAATTTCCTTGTCACATCATGTTCGTAGCTCTGTATCTGTAGCCGGATGTTCTTTTAAAGATAAACTTCTAAGAAGAATGAAATGTTTCAAAGATATCTTGCTTTTAAAGATACAGTTTAGGCGCATTTCATAAAAACAAGTTGGTCTTCAGTCGTAAAATATATGTACAAGAAAACTCAGCTAACAGTTTAATAGGAAGATTAGTCTAGTGGATTTAAACAGGAAATATTAAAACCTTACTCGACATGAATTTGTTGTGTTTGTTAGGCATCGATGCATTTACCCGCTGAGAAACGATTATCTCCGAATGATGTTTCAGACCAACAATCTCTTTGTCTGCTAAAAGTTTCCTCTTGAAATCTAGTTGACTGAACAGATGGATTATTCTCGTTGTATTTTTGAACTACGAAAGAAACATGTTCAGTCATCCAATTTGGATCGAGTTTATTGCAGCGACACGATCAGGAGTGTGTTACAACAATTAAAAATAAAGTGTTCTTGTCTTATTGTTGACCGAACTTAGAATACTATTTCTCTTTCTCTAACCTACCAAGAAACTGAACACGAAACCGTGAAGTGATTCACGGCTATTAATAGTGCTACTCGAGTAACAGAAAAATATGTCGTTATTTGACATAAGAAAGAAGAGGCGACGACTGCTTTTTGTAAGCTATATACTATAAAGCATGGTCGAGACTTCTCTTTTGAAGATCAAACAACATACACCATATTTATAGAAATAAAAACTTGCGACAAAGAGATGCGACAACGACCGACAACTGTCAAATTCAAGCACTTTAAGCTGACTAAATCGAACAGATTTCTCGCTTAAGTCGATTAGCGGTTTGTTTTTTACAGAGAACTTTTAAGCTTGGCTCAAAATAACCTGAAGTTGTTTTCATTGATTCTAAAACTGAACAAATTTTTCTTGAGTGGCAGTTTCGAATGGTTCTTTAATGCTTGCACAAACCTTAGTACAAAATCAGACAGAGGAAAGAAAATACTTTTTTTTTGTTATGTACTTGCTCGAGGCGAAACATTTACAGTAAATAAAATAAAGAAATTCATTTAATTTCAGATAAAAATGACCAAAGAATCCCATTTATAAGCCAGTGGGTGTATTTGCAAAGGCTGTGTGGAGCCTAATGAATAATTCAAGTTTGCTTTGATCAGCTTTTGTTGTGTCCGTAAAGCTGAATTTCAAGCTCTTTTCGACCGGTTTAAAAGGAGGGTGCAATACAGGCTGGTTCATTCGTGGGTGTAATCTCGTTGAGTCGATTGAGCCTTACAAACAGCAGAACTTTTATAGACAATCTTGAAAACCGTATCATTAAGATTTTCAACTGCGCTTCAAAGGAATCGCCGACCTTTATTTCATGATACTTCTCAAACCCGTCCTGTTTTTACGATCAAGCAAGTGAACACATGCGCTCATGTTTACGCTAGCTTGTTGCCTTTAATTACACTGTTGTTTTTTCGCTTCCATATTTCCGGAAGGTTCATCACCTACTTCAACGACAAAAAGTGAAGAAAGGTTGGCAAGGCATGATAACTTCAATACAACCGGTTATGTTTTCATTTGCTCATAATTTATGACCGCTTTTGATGTTGAATACTCCCAAGTCAAACGAGACAAGTGCTTGATAACCAGTTGGATTTATGTTCCACACGCGGAAATTCATGTGTAGGTTAATCAAATCTTCCAAGTTGAAAATAGAATGTATGGCTGTGTTCAAATAAAATTAAAAATCAAACGCTTTTAGTTTTTGGCGTAGGTAAATCAGTGGACAAGCCAGCACATTCTAAACAAATATTCCATGAGTCGGCTCCGTTTTAACTTTAATATAACCACGGCAACACGAGTTAATTTTGAAACACGCATTCGAAAAAAAAAGGTCTTTTGGGCCGGTAAGGAGGCGGAAATAGCCTTCAGAAGATAGATGAGAAAACGAACAACGGCCTGGATCGAAAACCTTCGAGCCGCACACTTAATGGTGTGTGTGATTGACAATGGTAATAGATCCGTTCTTGGGCAAACATTCAATTATAAAAATAAAAACTTTGCTGCTAACTGATTCTTGGAACAAGTTTTACGATCAAGTGGACGAAAAACCTTTCACTCAGCGAAAAACTGTCTTTATGCAGATAAGGCATGCGTAGTCTTTTCAAATGAAAAAAATAATAATAAAAAAAACAAGTAATCATTTTCCAGGCTTTTGCTATTATTAGCAAAGTAATATATTGTGAGAGATAATTTAAATGTTGCATTCAGATCTCGTTCTAAGTGACTAAACGCGGCCCAATTTGAAAGGCCTCCTTGCAATTTGACTTATCTTTACTATCTTATAAAATGAGCCTTAATTGAGCACTTAACTGCGAAACATTTTGGCTAGGCAATTTTTTGGTAAAATTATTTCCACATTTTCTTACCGGAACTAACTAGGTACGGGTAACATAAAAATTCTCAGTAAAACTTAGCGCTAAGTGATACATAGATTTTTTTCCTATTTTAGGTGCCCTTCTTCACTTGTTTTGTTAACGTTTAAAGCTCCCACATCCGTTCACATGTAACTTTGATAATTACGTGGATTGTAAAAAAAAAAAGCCATGAAAGGATATGTTGTTCAAAATTGGAATACAAACTAGCCTGCGCAGGAAACAAGACCAAAAAATTCATCCACAGAAAACCATTACGATTTTGCACAATTCGAGATAAAGAGGAAGGAACAATTAGTCGAATGCGTATCACAAGAATAACGGAAAAAATCTATCAAGTCGAGATGCAAGTTTGATTAACACATTCAAAGAGCTTCCTGAACGTTGAACATCGGTTGTAGTGAGTTCGTTCAGTTATATAAGAGCGCGTAAATTAGGACCTAAGTACACCCAACTAGATTTCTGTGCTTTTCAACACGTTAATTATATTAAAAGGTGAAATAAGTCAGAAAAACGCAATAATTATTCATATTTTCTAAAATCGGCAGGCGGCCTTGCGCTTTGGATGTTCAAAGGATACCGAATGTATCCTCATGCATAGCTAACATGTATATGTTTAGATCCATGATGTAAATATAATTTCGGGATGATCGTCGTTCATACTGGTAAAATTGCGAGCGCAACAGCTTATTGTGAACATTTTGACTCATTTGATACCTAGCTGAATTAAATTGGGACGTTTAGAAAAAAAAATACTGAGAAAGCAATCTGTTACCGTATATCACAGTACCGGACATGAGACCCTCAGAGCGCTCGATCGTGACCAAAGAGTTTGGGTCGAAGACAGACGATGAAAACCTTGTTGATTTCAAAAATTAAAAGCACCCTGGAATCGACAACAGATCTTGTACATCGTGTTGTAGACGATACTTAGAGAAAAACTATTAATTACAAAATATTTAATGAGAACGGGGAGATGAAAATGTCTTCAAGTAACGCATTAGTTTATCAACGTTTTACTAAGCTAGCGGCGGACATCACAGTGACTTACTTTTCATAGTCTGTCCGACAGTACAGTTTCCTGTCTTTACTGAAGCATGACCGTGATAGAGTATTCCTACATATACAGCATTGTAAACAGCTTTCATGCCATGGTTCGTCCATCACTTTCATCACAAATCGGTCCTCGATCGGTTCCTGGCAGCCTGTACACACACTCATTCTCCTATTTTGACTTCCATTTTGCCCGCAGCTTGCCTTCCCTGCAAACAGATCACAAACAAACGTTGCCAAATTGAATTCATACTATCACTAAGTCCTTCGTTGCGGATATGAGGAACTAACCAATTATTTTTGGGGGCTTCCGGCAATAACTATCCTCCATAGTCATTGGACTACGCGCGGTGACACTCGTCCACGAGTGTAATACACAAAGATGTGACTCGTCCGAGTCTTTGCTGAGGCCTGTGTCAAACGTATTCGAGATATTTAATCTCCCACGCGCTTGTAGCCTGGCAAGGCTGGGTCAGTAGACTACAGTTGCAAAATTGGTCACAATATTTCTGTTTGTGTGATTGTTTCTGTGATACGATTGACTGGTAACCGATTGACTTCTGCTTTTTGTAGTTTGCTATCTACGATGGTTAACAGGGTTCCCTTCATTCCACCTGTTTGACCAGTTGGAACACGGGCATAATTTTCCCCCGACAAGCGACGTTCTTTCTCATCAAGCGCGACGTATATTTCGCGCGCGAATCGGACTTCTGTGGAAAGTTTGGCCGAGATGTCTGGATAGTCGCTTCGATTCAGAGCAGGCGTTTGGTTCATCGATTTGACACCTCAACAACTAAGCTATTGGTAGAAAGGGCGGCGAGGCGCTTTTTTTTATTGTCTTTACCGTAATGACATGTGACAGCTTGATTGATCGTTATGTGACCAACCAAGTCTGAACAATCCGCAGTGTACACGTGCATAAAAAGGCAAGTGGCACTTGTACGATGAAAATTTCAAGTTGAAATCAGTGACTCAGCCCTGGTATCTTTAACAAGCTTCCTCGAGGGATGACAAGTTTCAAGTGAGAAAGTGTAGGTTCCGCTAATCGGGCTTAGAATCGAAGTAATTGGTTTACAAAGGCTTATTATAATACAACCTTCAATTGACGAAAGATTGCAGTATGTTTCAGTGCCTCTCGCCTTGTTGGAAAAAAGGTGGTGTCCAATCGAAAATAGACGGGGGAGAGGGTTTTTGACAGAGCCCCTTAGCGTATACTGCACGTGCGTCAAGCGAATTACAACTAAGAACGCCACCTGCGGATATTAGCAATTGTTTCAACATGGAGAGAAAACGAAAAAATGAAAACGCAAGGAGGACGGTACATAAAACAAGCTGATCACACGCAGAGAGTTTTTTTAGAATTTTTTTCTTTTAATAGCAAATTCGCTGCTATATAAAGCCCTTTAAACAACAAAGGCAGGTGGAATATTATTGAAATGGCGTAGGAATTGCGTTATTTTATGTCACGGTGGAGGCATATATTGACGGCCTGTTGACAGTTCGAGCTGTCGATCACAAGTGGTTTCGCGACATAAAGGACGCCCTTGAAATTTGATACGTCAATTGCTGCAACCTTGGCGGCTCTGAGACAATAAGAGATCTCATGGGCAATTGGGTTCGCTTTCACGCTATTCTTTCTAAAGCGCGAACAATTGAACCACACACGGTCTGGCGGAAAGCTTCCACAACTCATATGGAAGGAATGGGTGAAGCTTTAAGTTCACTTTAAGAGTCAATTTAAGAACTACCTCTCAATTGTGGATTGGCTTTTTGAAGCAGTAGCAAAAGCTTAGGATGTAGGCAAGCGCCAGCCTCTATGTAGTTTATTAGACTGCGGTATGACCCTAGAATGATCATTTAACCGTTGAAACCAAGCTTTTGTGTCTTTATGGATCAACTGCTGTCGGTGTCTTTGATTTCGGTTTGTTGTTTTTCGCGTGGCATTTTTCGGTACTTTAAGAAGGTGCTTGAAAGTGTGAAATGTTTTGTTCGTTTTCTACCTAACGAAGTCATCCTTCTTTTTCCTTGTTAACAAACTTTTTTGTTCTTAACGAATTGATTGTTTATGTGAGAATTAAACTAAAAAAAAATTATCTATGATTGCCAGTTTTTGTTGAGGCTTTTTTGTTCGCTTGACACGTAAACGCTTGTAAAACTAAAATTATTTCTGTTATATCAATGTTGTTATCTTTAAACAGCAAGTACTTTGTGAATAAGGCATCGGTTTTGATGTTTTGACTCGGACTATAGCGGAAACCTCTTAGCTGAGGCACAGTGGTCAAGTGAATGGTTCATAATTAAGTAGCTTCTCGTAATATTCATCGGTGTAATAACAATCGAAGTCTAATACGGTTTAGTTGGATTGGTATTATTGTCAACAACAAGTACGATGCTAAATGTTTTGAATGCGACACCGATCCTCCGCCTCAAGCTCTGTTGCATTCCAATCATAGACGCTGTCTAACTTTGAGCCTAGGACTGAAGAGGTTTGTCGTTAATCAGTATTCACCCCGATTGTTTCCCTTCCGTCGCTGATAACAATTTTATCGACCTCAGTGTTTTGTCGGGATAATGTTGCACTTGTTCAAAGTTTCCGTGATTTTTCCAAAACTAATCATTTCCTCAAGTTGAAGCTCTTTGATGTTAAACGGTGTTGTATACATGTATAGGTCCTTGAGAGAACAAATTATTGCGGTTAAATACACACACTTATACACTCACGCCTTTACTAAAACAACAAGAGGTGTGATACAGGCGGCAAATCTTTCATCTTTGTTTTTTTGAATTGGCTCTCAAGTGATGTGGGTTGTTCGGGGGGTTCTGCTTCTGTTTAATTACATGTTACTTACCACTCTGAATCCACGAATCAACCTTTTCTTTCTAGGCAAAAATACGCCTTCTTTTGAAGCAGTAATATTTCTTGAATAAATAAAATAGCTATTAACCTATTCTAATCGCATTTGTTTGCTCACCGCTTCAGGCGAAATGTGTAAGTGATACCTATGAGCTCTGTCGCGAATATTCGCTTCTCGTGACTTTTCTATATTTTACCTTGTATTGCTGAAAATCGGTTTTTGTGTTGAAGTCAATAGCCCGTCAGAAAGGCATGAAAGACCAGTAGAGACATAATTAGCAACGTGGAAGGATGTACGGCATTGAACGAGTTTTATTCAAGAAATGAATTGTGTGCCTTTAGGAGATTAACTCCCGCTTGGTGCAAAAAAAACTGGATCTCTAAAAGAGCACGCCGCTGGCTTCAGTTATAACTACGTTTACAGACGATTTTGGAAAATTAAACGTCTTGCCATGGAAAAAAAAGTACAGAAGTCTTTCGACCTTAATAACCCGCCGTCCTTAAAGGAACTAATGTGTTGAAGGCTGTTTTCTACGATGTCGGAAGTTTTCCCCGCTCAAAGGGTAATGTTATGCTAAAATCTTTCAAAAGGCTCCTTGCAACTGCAGCTGCCTTCACCAAGGGTGGAAAGTCCGTGACTTTCAAATACAGTAAACACTTGCTCAGTTTTTTTTCTTTTTTCAACAAAATTCTACGTACTAGATTAAAACTGTCTCTTTTCGCTCTTTGAGGCGGTTTTACTAGAGTAAGTCGGTTAAAAAATGGCTCTGTGTTGTCTCTACAAATATCAACCTTGCGCATAAACCTATTTAAAACAACTCCTGAAACTTAGTTTCTTTACAATGGTGTACAGTTTGTTCTCAGGAAAATAGAAGTTCTAACGAGATTGTAACCGAAGCGTGTAGTCTCCGCTAATTAAGAGACTTTTGCGGGAGCATTCTGAATGATACTGCATTTCGACGTTTCTTCTGGTCTATACAGTTTTGTTGACATTTCTTATATTAGGCGTTCTTATCGAAGCAAGATTCTTTTTTCAACCTTTTTTCAGTCATGCCAAATTTAAAAATATTTCTTAACCAACCTTGCCGTGAATTGTAACCCCACAAGATTCAAAGACTAACGATACAGTTCCATTCTGTAGAGAAGAATCCACCTAAGATTTTATATTGACCAAATGCTTGAACCTTAAACTTTTTCCGCTGAATGAGGTGAGTAAACACACAGAGAGCAATCCGTTTAGTTTTCTCTGAGACTTGTAACATCTGGTTCTTCTTAGGCTCGTGTTTCACATTTAATTCCGTTCTTGTTTCCTCAATAAGCTCGGGAAAATTCGTCTTGTTTCCCTGTGCTGACAGCAGTTTTCATCATAGTTCTGTCCGCAATTTTCAGTGCGATGCGGTTTAGTATATTTGCAAAATTCGCTCGTAAAAGTTTAAATCATATAAAATTTTATTCTTCGCGAAGGAGGAAGAATTCAACGAGCGTTCAAATTTAATGATTTTCGTTTAAGCAGTAAAGTCATTTTGGTAGCTTATATAGAAAAGCATGCGGTCAATGTATTTTGACTTTGTCCGAAACGAAACATGTGTCCAAAATATAAACTCCATCTGCTTCAAAGATCCAATTGGAGCTTTTCTACCCGGTATTGTAGGAACAAATTCAGATATTTTCAAAGATGGCAAAATTCTTGAAACCTTAAACTTAAAGTGAGCCTAAATGCACAGTTAGTCCACATCACAGGTGTTCTAAGGTCAAGTAAAACTAATCTGAGGTTGTGTTCTAATAAAACCCATATGTAGGTATTTTGGTTGCACAGTGATTCTGTATACTATGTTTTGATTCATATAAGCTCCAAAGCTTTTAAATGAATCTGCTTTGGATTTTCTTTCGTATTTCCTCACAAAACTCGAGTTTGAAATGACTCTTACCATGCGCTAAAGTCTTGTGCATGCCTCAAGGCTTCTATTGGTAATATAGGGCTTCTTCCTTCCTTTCAACACAGTGTATTCTTCGTTACCACAAATATGTCGCTTTGAAAGCCAGCTTTCTTTCAAAATCAAAGGAATCAATTCGCACAATTTCACGTTTCTGTGGGTTCTTTCAACAGCAGCCACAAAGCTAGACGAAAATTTAATAAGTGCTCACCTGAATTCATTTTTCAAATGAATCTGTAGTTATTTGTGGTGTACTTGTACTCATCCATTTATTTACGGATATTGAATGCCGTGAAGACTGAGAAAGCTGGAAAAAGTCCCTTAATACTCTAGAGGATCATATGTTGGCGTAAAATAAAGAACCTTTTTTCCTTTGTTTAAATTGAAATTCACTTTTCTCATATCAGTGATATATTTTAATCTAAGCCCCTCGCAGCGTTACTTAGCCCGGCTGTGTCAAAGATAAAAAGTTAAGAATTTCAACGGTTCTTTCGCTCCATCTCACGTCCAATTTTATTCCTTACAAAACATAGAAAACGGTAAAAAAATATTACCAGGTGTATACCTAAAAAACTCCTTAAACTTAAGCCATCTTCTCAAACAGATTTCGCCACAGTTATAAATTGTTTACTTTTTAGTTGCAATCTGCTCGATTGACTCCTCAGAACGGATAACTTTCCTTAAGGATCTCAGATCCTCTGAGAAGCTGCGAGAAAAGTTGTTTAGTGCATTGTATCGATAAAGTTTTTTTATTAAGACAAAGCGAAAATTTTTTGCGAGTTGACAGCTTCGCTCGACGAGTTGTAAATGAATGTAAGCAGGGGGGACATCTGCAGATTGCTTCGCAGATTGAAACAAAAAAAAAAAAAATGGATCGTTCTCTGCGAGGAAATTGTATGTCGGTGTTCCATATTTCAGTATCTCCTTGATTAAACGTCCTTGGAACAGAGGGTTTCATTTCTGATATTTTTCGGTTTTTATCGTAGATAGGACCGAAGTTGGTGAAGGTTTCTGGCGAACACTAAATAGCCCGGCGAAAGTGGCACAGCAGTTTAGCATTTGTTTTCGGTTTAACGACATAAACTAATTACTTTCTTGTTATGAGGACGTAAGGGGA